CACTGTCAGTGACCAGATGCAGTACTTCGCTGATGGTCAAGTATGCCAAGTACGGTAATTAAGTTGGGAATCTCTTGCATTTTGTGAATAAGATACACATGGGAAATTTAGCACATTGTTGGCTAGATGTCAATGCTGTAGCAGTATTTGGCTAGAGTTGCAGCTAATTCTAAAGTGCAAGAATTTAATGCTGTTGCTGGAATGCTGTCAGGGTCCTTAGCCTTTGCAGTATCCAGTGCTTCAGCTATTTCTTGGTATTTACGTAGATTGAATCAAAATTGGATAAAGGCTGGCATCTATGATGCTGGGAACCTTAGGATCCATCCACTCTGCAATTCTGGCTGAAGATGTTTGTCACTTATTTAATGTCCACCATCATTTACAGTTGAATGTGGCAAGATTACAGGACTTAAATTTGATTCATTGGTTGTGACATTACTTGGCTCTGTCAATTATGTGCTGTTTATACTGCTTGACATGCAAGTAGCCTGTGCTGTTGCTTCACCAGGTTGACAACTTATTTTTAGGTACACCAGATATTCCTTCTGGTGTGTCATCTTGCACTCTTCGTTGAACTGGTATGATCCTCCAACTTGTTGGTAATGTTAAGTTGGGGGATATGCCAGGCCATGACATTTCTGAAGAAGGGTCTAGGCCCGAAACGTCAGCCTTATTGCTCCTATGATGCTGCTAGGCCTGCTGTGTTCATCCAGCTCTGCACCTCGTTGTTACAGATTGTAGTTGGTTACAGTTCTGTTGCTACTGATGACCCACAGCACCTCATGGATGCAGAGGTTTGAGTTTCTATATCTGTTCCAACTCTATCTCTTTTAGCACAGTGATAGTGCCATACAACATGGAGCATGGCCAGTGTGAACGAGCCTTCGACTGAGTGCGATAGTAGCCAATTGAATACATTTGGAATGTTGTTCTTAGTGGGAATTTTGTAGAAGGGGGAACAGAGATACTTTAAGGTTTTATTGCAAGAAGTAAAAACTGTAGAGTGAGAAGTGGATAGGAGTCATTAACTAGTCCATCTCTAATTGCCCAGAGGGCAGTTAAGAGTCAATCACATTGTAGGCCTGGAATCACATGTAGGCCAGGTCAAGTAAAGACGGCAATTTAGTGAACCAGATAGCCATTGTTAATTGCCATAAAAGCATAACATTTACTATGAGGCCAACTTTTTATTGACTTCAGATTTCACCACCTGCTATCGTGGGACTTGAACCCATGGGGTGGTGATAACTTACTGGTATTATCGCTAGACTATTAATCCAGAAAGTCAGCTAATGTTCCAAGTTCGAATCCCACCAAAAGGAATCAAGAAGAAAACTCTCTGCTAGTTGAAGTCATACCTATCAAGAAGGAAAGTTGCACATTGAATGTAATCTGTAGGTCTGGAAATAAAAATTGCACATTTTCTTCCCTAAAGGCCATTAGTGAACCAGATGGGTATTCTTTGATAATGTGTGGTGGTTTCGTTATCACCATTGATGAAACTAGCTTTTAATTCCAGATTTATTAATTGAATTCAAATTCCAACATATGTTTTGGTGGGTTTTGAACTGATGTCCCCAGTCAATTAGTCTGGGCCTTTGGATTACTAGCTCAGTGTTATTACTGCTATGCCACTCCCTACACACGCTTGAATGCATTGTGTTCGAGAAATTGTGGAAAACACGAGTGAAATCATGCAACTAAATATTACTGTGGAGCCTTAGTGAACTATTTGAGATGGCAGGTATTTTTCAGAACTTTCAGTAGCTGAACATGTGGGTAAAGTCTCTGATACTCTGTGTGGGTTGATGAGCTAAATGGAGTTTTCACATTGACTGCATTCTTGTCAAATAATGTGCAACGCTGCATCGTTTTCTATTTAGGCAGCCTTTCTACTCTGTGAAAAGAGTAGAGCAGAAATAAGCTGGCAAAAATTAAAGGTTGCAAGGGAGAAGGGATGATGTAAAATTTTAAGCTCCTATGATGCTGCTTGGCCTGCTGTGTTCATCCAGCCCTGCACCTTGTTGTCTCGGATTCTCCAGTATCTGCAGTTCCTACTATCTCTCATGTAAAATTTTAAATTGTTTTCATCTTGAAGAATTAATTTGGTTTTTGAATTTGAGACTGGAATGTTACCTTATCTCAAATACGTTTGTATGTAGAATTTTTCAGTGCTAGCATAATAGATAAGAATGTTTTCACAAGAGTGTAGCTGTACCAAAAGAAAAGGAATTCATGCTGATTTTTCAAGTAGTTTTTCACATCATTAAGGGGATGGCTTATCAGCGATATAGATTCTAAACTTCTGCGATAATTGATGTAACCATTTGATGTTAGTGCTGTGGCGGGCAACAATGTATTCCAATGCTGTGCATTCTCATTGATTCAGTGAAATTAGTTCTCGAAAATTAGCAAGCAATGTCTATCCAAACATTGTTCTGGATGTTTGCCGAGCTTCTTGTCAAAAGCTGTATTCATCCAGGTATGCAGCGATTGTTTCATCACAGTCTTGATTTTGTGCTTTGAAAGCTTTGGGGAGTCGGTTCCTCTCTGAAACATCTGTCTCTGGAACAGTTAGTGAAATTATCAGTTGATGCGAATTTTGATACGTTCACCTTTTTAAAGCAGGAGGTGATGTCAGTGACAGCAGAAAAACAAAACCTATTGCCACATTTTTTTTAAATTGCTAGCTAAATCATGTTAATTATTAACATTGAAAGGCCAAAGATCAGAAGGTAAAGGCCTAAACAAAAGCCCAAATGGAATGCATGCCAGAACATTGGTGATTCTGGTGATAGCAGAGTCCCAGTAATACATTTCCTTAAAAGAAATGTTGAACATGAAAATAATGGATAGAAGGATAGTAGGAACTGCAAATGCTGGAGAATCTGAGATAACAAGGTGTAGAGCTGGATGAACACAGCCTCTTCCTCCGTTACGTCAATGACTGTATCGGCGCTGCCTCGTGCTTCCATGAGGAGCTCAAACAATTCATCCACTTCACTAACACCTTCCACCCAAACCTTAAGTTCATGTGGACCATCTCTGATACCTCTCTCTCCTTCCTGGACCTCTCTGTTTCCATCTCTGGCAACCACCTGGAAACCGATATCCATTTCAAGCCTACTGATTCCCACAGCTACCTAGAATACACCTCCTCCCACCCACCTTCCTGCAAAAATGCCGTCTCCCAACCGGTGGTAGAAAACGCCCTCAACCGCATCTCCCGCATTTCCCGCAACTCATCCCTCACACCCCCTCACTGCAATAACAACCAAAACAGGATCCCCCTCGTCCTCACGTACCACCCCACCAACCTCCGGATCCAACGCATCATCCTCCGGAACTTCTGCCATCTGCAATCCGACCCCACTACCGAAGACATTTTTCCCTCCCCACCCTTATCTGCTTTCCGGAGGGGCCACTCTCTCCATGACTCCCTCATCTGCTCCACACTCCCCTCCAGCCCCACCACACACGGCACTTTTCCCTGCAACCACAGGAAATGCTACAACCTGCCCCTACACCTCCCCCCTCACCCCCATCCCAGGCCCCAAGAAGACCTTCCACATCAAACAGATGTTCACCTGCACATCTGCTAATGTGGTATACTGTATCCGCTGTTCCAGATGTCAACTGCTCTACATCGGGGAAACCAAGCAGAGGCTTGGGGACCGCTTTGCGGGACACCTACGTTCGGTTAGCAACAAACAACTGCACCTCCCAGTCATGAATCATTTCAACTCCCCCTCCCACTCCTTAGATAACTTGGCCATCCTGGGCCTCCTGCAGTGCCACAACGATGCCACCCGAAGGTTGCAGGAACAGCAACTCATATTTTGCTTGGGAACCCTGCAGCCCAATGGTATCAATGTGGACTTCACAAGCTTCAAAATCTCCCCTCCCCCAACCGCATCCCAAAACCAGCCCAGCTCGTCCCTGCCTCCCTAATCTGTCCTTCCTCCCACCTCAAGCCCCACCCCCATCTCCTACCTACTAGCCTCATCTGGCCCCCCTGACTTGTCCATCCTCCCTGGACTGACCTATCTCCTCCCTAACTCCCCACCTACACTCACCTTTACTGGCTCCACCCCCGCCTCTTTGACCTGTCTGTCTCCTCTCCACCTATCTTCTCCACTATCCATCTTCTATCTGCCTCCCCCTCTCTCCCTATTTATTTCAGAATCCCCTTCCCCTCCCCCATTTCTGAAGAAGGGTCTGGACCCGAAACATCAGCTTTCCTGCTCCTCTGCTGCTTGGCCTGCTGTGTTCATCCAACTCTACACCTTGTTATCATGGATAGAAGGATAATGTTTTACATAAACTAGACTTCTTGGCTCAATCAGTCAGTATTAATGCTTGCCATTAATGTGAGGTAATAGGCCAAATTACATTTAATCATCCTATTCTCATATTTTAACATTGCCTTTTCCTTCATCCACCTATGCAATATCATTTTGAATACTAATATAGTTTCTACCTCAACCAGTAACGTTAGAAGAACCCCATTCCATAGTTGACTCGGGTTTGCTTGGCTACTTCAGCGAATAGTATGTTGACTTGCTAAAGGCATGTCCCAGTGCTTTAAGAGGAGGATCCATGACCACCACCTCAGGACGACTATGGATGATCAACAAATGTCAGCTTTGTCTGTGAAGCTCAAATCTGAAGCAAATTCTCCTTTCAAAAATATTCAATCACACTGAAGGGGGATATTAACAATGTTTAACATGTCATCAGATTAAAGCAATTGCATTAGATGCATGAGGAAACCAGTTTCCCTCCAAGTCAAATATCATCCTGATTGGGGAACTAATCGCTGTTCTTTCACTGTCCATGGATTCAAAATTCTGGAAAAGTGTTTCTAACAGCACTATCATGTGTGCCAACCCCCATGGACTGTAGCTTCAAAAACATCACTTATCCTTGTTGTACTTGTTACAATGTAACTTTCTTCTTGACTAGAATTTATATACAGTAAGTAGATGACACAGGTATCCATGATAACTAGAAATTGTAAAGTTTTCCTTACTAAGCTTTCACAATCTCTGCTTTTCTCCGTGCAGGTAATTGAGCGAACCTCCTTAGGATGGGGAACTAGAGTGAAAGGCTTTCTTGCCTGCTTTGTAGCAGGAATTATTTGCTCTATATTGGTAAGTTGATTTGAAATATTGTGTACTTTGGAAAAAGTAAATGAAAAACCACCATATTGTTTCACTAAATCCTCATGTCCCCGAAGTAATGTTAGACATGCTAGAAGTCAATACGTTTTATACTGCCAGAAGTTTTTTATATTTCAATTTCTATACTGAATGTCCAAAACTATCTTTGCAGTGAATAGGGACAAATCCAAGGTGCTTTATGTTCTTTGAAGGGATGAACTTAATGATTTGTTCATCATGAGTGTAGATGTGGGAATGTGAGAGTGAGTATGGGGGAATGGTAGTGCACTAAAGCTGTCACAGCCTTAACTATGATCTCATTTGAGTATCTTGGACCTTATTAATGACATACCTGCCTGCTTGAAGTTTACCCAAATTGACATAAGGGCAAGCTCGACGAATATCTCCATCCATTATGGATGGGGGTCCCACACATCAAAGCAAAAGACAAGATGGAGCATTTGCAACCACCTTCCCTTAGAAAGCCAAGATCAGCTTTTCAGTCTCTTCGCAGACAGATCACATCACAGATACAAGTCTTCCACTAGTTCTATTCACTCAACACAATATCAAGCAATGGTTGAAGGCACTGCATTATGCAAAGGTTACGGACACTGGCAAATAATGGAGAGGGTCATTTACAGTGCTATCAATAAGTGTTACTCAATAATAAGCTGCTCACTGATTCTCAGTTTGGGTTATGCCAGGGCAACTCACCTCTTCGTGGATAGGGTGGAGGATAACTCTCTACTAGGAACCAGCTGCTTTGCCATTGACCTTCCCTCAATCATAAGGTCAGAATTGAGGATGTTCGTCAATGATTGCACAATGTTCAGCACCCTTCATGACTCGTTAGATACTGAAACGGACTGTGTTCATGTACAGTATGATCTGGACAACATTCCGACTTGGGCTGAGAAGTGACAAGTAACATTCTAGCCGTATAAGTGCCAGGCAATGACTTTCTCAACTAGAGAGAATCTAACCATCCTCTCTTGACATAAAATGGCACTACCATTACTTAGCAGCATCGCAATGCTTTGGGTTACCATTAATTTGAAACCGACCTGAAACAGCCATATTTGTTACAGGATCAGGTCAAAAGCTAGGAATTCTGCAGTGGCTAATTCATCTCCTGACTCTCAAAAGCCTGTCCAGCATCCACAAAGTATAAGACAGTGTGTGATGAAATACTTGCCCAGATTAATATAGCTCCAAAAACACTAACAAAGCTTGACACCATCCAGGACCAATCATGCCTGCTTGATTGGCACCCTATCCATCATTTACCATTTACTCCCTCCACCACTGCATGATGGTAGTGGTGCATGTCATCTAGAAGATGCCAATGAGCAACCACCAGGGTTCCTTCTACAGCATCTTTCAAATCCAAGACTTTCTGATCTAGAAAGATCAGAGCGGTAGTCAAAGGAAACCAGTTTCCCTCCAAGTGAAACATCATCCTGATTTAGGGAACTAATCGCTGTTCTTTCACTATCTGTGAATTCAAAATTCTGGCAAAGTGTTTCCGACAGCACTATAGGTGTGCCAACCTTCATGGACTGTAGTTTCAAAAATATACCACTGTCTTTTCAGGGCAGTTGGTGATAAATCCTTGCCTATAAAAAAATTTCCCACATCTCGTGAATGAATAAATTTAAAACAAAATTCTGCGTGCTTCTTGAATGTATGAATCTGAACTTGCTAGATGGTTTGTAAATGTCTTTTTCCTCTGTACATTTTCCTCTGATTTCAGGCCCATTTTCAACCGTTGTCTCTGAAAAGGTTAAGTCTCCATGCTGAAAATTGTATGTGAAAAACTCAATGATAATAAAAAGTAATAAACAGGGATTTTTTTAAAAATTACTTTAGAATTGGTTACATGATTGAGTCAACAGAAAACCTATACTTATCACTAGGCTGTTGAATCCAGGCATGTTATTAGTCAGTTAAATTGTGCAGTAAAATTTATAGGATATCAAAAACTCTGACAAACATGAGAGTACAGGCAGATGTCATGTGAAGTGTAATGATATATCCACAACGTAACTTCATCTTTTTGGAGAATGTGTTGCTGTTGAGCTCTGGAGGAGGAAGGACTGAATGGAGGTGAGGAAGAGAAAGATTTAAGAAAGGAAGACATGAATGTAGTTGAATAACAGGCGAAGTCCAGGAGGACACCAAATATGGGCAACGACAGTGAAAAAGTTAAAACCAGAACTTGGACACCATTTTGCAGGAGCATTGATTCTTGCATGCAGATTAAATAGTAGCTAAAACTCCTTTGGAAAATTGATTCAAAAAACTGAGGAGTCAGAAGCTAATCATTAATTAAGGTTAAGGATGGTCCCTGCTCTGTCCAGGATATGATAATGCAATTTAAAGAAGGTTGCAAAGACTTGGAAGTCTGATAAAATAATCATTATTAATTAGTCATGTATTTTCATCAAATTTACAGTATCTGCAACTCAGTTATTGACCAATTCTCTTGACTCTACCTCTGATTGCTCATGAATAGTTTTGAAAATAATTGTGAAAGGTTTGCATGGTTTAAGTCAGAGAACTGTGTAGATATGATCTTATCAAACCAGAAACTCTTGATAGTAGGAACTGCAGATGCTGGAGAATCTGAGATAAC